AGGACCGCCCGTTCTTTGGTGGCCCAGTGAAGTACATGCCAATGGTCGCCATGGTCTGGGAGGGTCTGAATGTTGTGAAGACAGGCCGAGTGATGCTCGGGGAGACCAACCCAGCGGACTCTAAGCCTGGAACCATCCGAGGGGACTTCTGCATCCAAGTTGACAGGAACATCATCCATGGCAGCAACTCCGTGGAGTGTACAGAGTAGAAGATTGGCCTATGGTTCAGCCCCGAGGAGCTAGTCAGCCACAAGAGCTGTGCCCAGAACTGGATCTACCAATGAGCGGGACACATCACCAGTTTGCTCTTCTCCATGTCCTTGTCGCTCATCCAGGAACCCAGCCATAGGTTGGGTTCTAGTCATCTCAGAACTTCCCAACATTACAGAGGGAAATTCTGGGAGCCAGGGGTGCTCCCGGTACAGTGTTAAGTGCTGCCGTCAAGTTAAAACGTTTCATTCCAAAATAAATAAATAAATAAATAAAAGGTAACGGTAAAGGCCCTCCCATTGTTCGTCGATTTGCTCGAGCAGGCCCAGTAACATCTCCATTGGAGACTTTGTTGTTACTGTGTTTGGCATATCGAATACGTCACGGGGAGCTTGCCAGGCTCTGCCATGCGGGCAAGATACTCTCGGTAGCTTGCTGGGCTCTCCGAGAGGGGCGGAGGAATCGAATTCGGGTCGGCCATGTTGGCTGCGTGCAAGGCAAACGCCTTACCGCTGTGCTATTGCTCCAGCCCAAATAAATAAATAAAAATTAAAAATAAAACAAAACCCCACCTGACTGTGCTTCCCTGCTGCAAATGCTGCTCGGAAGCTCCGCCTTGCACTGCCCATCAGAAACAAACAAAAAGAAAGAACCTGAGTGTTTTCCTTCCTATCTGTTATATACTAAGTGTTCCCGATCAGCTACTGATTTAGAAGTCCAGGCTAAATGGATTGGCCTTTAAGCACCTAGGGCCGTGGGGTGCGATGCCCTCCCTGCCATCCCCTAAACTCTGGCCTCCAAATGGGCAGGGCAGCCCCCGTTCTGCCCAGTGAGCGTTCAGTCAAGCTGGGCCTCAGCTAAAGAAGCAAGACCGGAACCTCTGCTCCCAGAGGAAACACGGGCTGAAGTTCGCAGCAGTCTCCGGACACAGAGCTTTCTTTCCCCCCCCCCCCCCCCCCAGTCTTTGGTTTTTGTTTTGGGGTCACATCTATGCATGATCAGGGCTTACTCCTGGCTCTGCCCTAAGGGCTCACCCTTGGCGGGGCTCAGGGGACTATAGGGGGTGCTGGGGACTGAACCCAGCCGAGTGCAAGCCTACATGCTGTGCTATTGGGAAAAAAATTTTATCCACCAATTAATGTATAACTTTGCTTCTTGTGTCTCAATTTACACATTCAACACAGCATCCACTCCCGGCTCTCACATCCTTTTCCTTCCGCCTTTCCCTTCCTGGGTCTGGGGCAGAAAGTCCAAGGCTGGGAGTCACACGGAGCCCTGGGCAACCCTGAGCCCCACCCTGCCAGGAGACACAGCCAAGTCACAGACCCCAAGACAGTCCAATTGCATCCCGTACCTACAACGGTCAGTGCCTGCACGGCCTCTGTGTCAAAAGAACAGGCCCAAGCCAGAGGATGTGCAGAAGGTAAGGAATGTGATGGGCGTTAGGGCCGCTGAGGAGGAGCCCTAAGTGTTGGCTCTGCACCCAAAGGCGCCCCACAGAGGGAGGCAGGGAGCAGAGTTGGTATATTCTGTTGCCGTTGGCACACTAACTCAGTAGGCACGCCCAGAGTCAGGAGGGCACCATTCCAAATGGGCACAGTGACCCTCAGGAAGATCCAGGAGGACCCTAACACCCCTCCAACCCAACATGCCTCAGGACTTACCACCCTTGCCCAGGGAGAGAAGAGGCAGCACCCAATGCCTGTTTCCTGCAAGCCGCTTACTTACAGCAAGTAGGGTCCCACCAACCCCCGAAGTCCCAGCCTTCTAAGGGTCTGTCTGGTGAGAGGAGAAACACCCCCCTCCCCCCCGCAGTGGGTGACACTTGCTGAGCAGGAGATGCAGGTACTACCCAAGGCTCACTCTGACAGCCGACCAAGGGACAGAAAGGGTCCCTCTTCTGGCCTCAGTGAGCCCAGGCGGTGAGCACTTTCAGCCTCTCACGGGCAAGAGCGATGGATGACGGCACTGCAGGTGCCGGCCCAAGCTCAATCACTGGCCCCAACAGGGCCCCTGAGTCAATCAGGAGTGACCCCTGAGCTCAGAGCCCGGAGCAAAAGGTAAAATGTCTCAGCAAAGAGAACCCGGGGAGAAACAAGACGCCCTTACCTTTGATTTCTCCGGCCCGGGCTTTCTTGTAGAGCCCTTTGACATCTCTCTGTTCACACACGTGCAGGGGGGCATCAACAAACACTTCAAAAAAGGGTAAGCTTGCACCCTCGTGGATCTGCCTCGCATTGTTGCGATCCTTCCAAAGAGAAAGACAGGGACAAGAGCATCAGAAACCTGCTCTACGATCAGAGCTGCTACATTATTAGTAGGAACAAGCAAAGGCATTTTATGGGGGCCAGAGCCAAGCTCAACAGGCTGAGCACAAACTTCACCTGCAGGAGGCCTGGGGTGATCCCCAGTAACGTGCCATCCAAGCACGGAGTCAGGAGCTGCCCCCAAGCACTTAAAATTTAAAAAAAAAAAAGTGATTTTTTAACAGAGTTAAAAAAAAAAATCACTGATGAAATTCAATTCTTATTTTTAAAATATAAACAAAAGGGCTAAAGAAGTAGTCCAGGGGTTAAGACACTTGTGCAATGCTTGTGATGGTCCCTGCAGCAGAGACTTCTAAGCACAGAACCAGGAGTGAGCCCTGAGCACTTCTGGATATGGCCCCAAACAAAGCAACATAAAGTTGAACTTTTCAGCTGAATAAACTGAGAGTTTCCGTGGTCTGTGAAGGGGCAAGAAGACGCCACAGAGATGGTAGCACAGCAGGGAAGGCTCTTGCTCTGCACTGCTGACCTTGGTCGGTCCCTGATACCACGCATGGTCCCCCGAGCTCAGACACAGGAGTCAACCTGAGCACCACGGGTGAGGTTCCGGAACCACAAACATAATAATAATGAAAAAATAAAGGCGAGTGCTTATGCAAAGGAAATAAAGTGGCAGGAAGTGTGTGTTGAAATTGCAGGAAAAAAGCTGAGGGGCACGAGTCCTGTTAACGACGCAAACTCTGGGGAGAGATGGCACAGGGGTGAGGGCAGAGGACTCCACGCGAGAAGCCTGGCTCAATGCCCTCCACCTGTCCCACGCACACAGAGCCAAGAACAACCCCCAAGCACTGACAGGTACGGCCTGGAACCAAAACGAAAAACAAACAAACAAACAAACAAACAAAAAGAACCTGAGTGTTTTCCTTCCTCTCTGTTATATACTAAGTGTTCCCGATCAGCTACTGATTGAAAAGTCGGGGCTAAATGGATTGGCCTTTGGCCTGAGAATGACTGTCAGGTGGGGCAGGTGGCAGGTTTTATACAAACTGGATTTACTCAGAGAGGCAGAGCAATAGGATGCTGCGGCTGCTAGTGAACCTGGGCTTGGCCTCGCTGCATGTGACCGAGCAAGACTCTGCCTGAGGTGTGTTGGCAGGAAGGGTATTAACAAAAGCACCAGCTCAAAAGCTACCGACCTAAGGGTGGGATGGGGTGGAGGTGATGGGAGGGATCCTGGGAACATTGGTGGTGGAGAATGGGCACTGGTGGAGGGATGGGTGTTCGATCATTGTTTGAGTGAAACCTAATCACGAAAGTTTGTAAGTCTGTAACTGTATCTCATAGTAATACATTAATATTTAAATAAAATAAAATACAGCTACCAACCTGCGCATAGGGAGAAATGAAACTTGTGATGCACACCAGGCCCGCGTCTGCAAACAGCTTGGCAACCTCAGCGATACGGCGGACGTTCTCTTCTCTGTCCTCGGGGCTGAAGCCGAGGTTCTTGTTGAGGCCCTGGCGGATATTGTCACCATCCAGGGTGTAGCACGGGATGCCGTGGCACACCAGGTACTCCTCCAGTGCCATGCTTACCGTGGTCTTCCCTGCGCCAGACAAACCTGCAACAGAACCGGCCCAACAGATCCCAAGTCAGAGCCAGGACAATGGCTAGTTAGCAACAAACCGTTTCCATCACAGGTGTAGATGCATCCATGATTCGATGAACACTTGGGAACACGCTTAAGCAATATTCTAAGGTTCTCTTTCCATCTAGAAAACACTCAGTAGTTTAAGCGTCTACCTATAAGCGGCACTTGCCTATGCCCAAAGCTATCCTTAGAGGCCACTGATCTTTGGAGCGTCCCATTATGCTATCAGCCACAACCGAGCCTCGGTCACCGCTATTCTAATGCCGCAGACCAGCTTCCAAAGTGCTCAGACCCAAATTAATTCTTCCGAGGGTAAAGAAAGGACATGAGTTAGTCAAATAAGCACTAAGAAGTTACCTTTATCAGGCATCAGGATCAACAGCTCTCATAGAAACCATGATAAAAATATCTGGGATTCAATTTATACAGTCACTAACCTGGGAAGATTATCCCCAGCCGAATCCAGCTTTTTCCAACAACACTGGTAATTCCCTCAACAATGAGAAATCAGGGAAAACGAAAGGATCTATTTCTGTACTAATATCTGCTACCTTGGTAAGTGCAAGATTACAAAATTCACAGAGTAGGCAGTTATGTGGCAAAAGTCTATGATTGGTCCTATGGAGATATTTGGAAAACTGAAGTCTAATGTACTCACAGTCTTTACAGAGATCATATGAGTAGTAAGGTTAAGTGAAGGGGGAAAAAAAACAGAAAAGACGATATGCTGTGAGGTTAAATACAATGGTTAAAATAAAACCTGTTCAGGAGTCAGGGAGACAGCTAAAACAGGCGGTGTGTATGTTCTGCAAGCAGGGGACTCGGGTTCCTGGCACCCCATGGTCTCAAGTCCTTCCTGTTGAATGACCTCCGAGCAGTACGCTGGCAGTAACCCCTGAGCACCATCGGGTATGTGCCCCAACACAAAATCTAGTAGTAAAACAAACAGCAGAAAGGATTTTCCAAAGATATCACAAGAGAATTTCCAGCCAACTGGAGCTGCCCCAGCGTGGCACTTCTGGGGGAGGAAGAGGCTGAGTCTGATCTGCAGCCTTGAATCAGGCTGGCCGGAGGACCCGCCTAAGGCCAGAAGAAGGGGTGATGATGACCGAGGCTGCTGGGGCCCACTCATGGGGACCCGAGTGATAGTAAAGCAGGGAGGGCATTTGCCTTGCACATAGCCAACCTGGGTTTAATCCCCGGCATCCCATATGGTCCCCTGAGCACCACCAGGAGTGATTCCTGAGTGCAGAGCCAGGAGGAACCCCTGAACAAAGCCGGGTGTGACCCAAAAAGCAAAAAATTTAAAAAAAAAGAGACCACTGCTCAGAAAGAGAGAGAGAGAGAGAGAGAGAGAGAAGGAAAGAAAGAAAAAAAGAAAGAAAGGAAAGGAAAGGAAAGAAAGAAAGAAAGAAAGAAAGAAGTAGAGAGAAAGAAAGAAAGAGAGAAAGAAAAACAGAAAGGCTACGAGGCTCTCTCTGGACATGGCTAGGGAGGAGTCAACTAGCAACAGCCATTAGTCCATGGTCCAATGGGCAGAACGTCCTTTACTCAGCCCCCAGTTGACAAGCTGTGTCGAATGAGGGACCCGTCGCGGGAACCAAGCTTGGCCCCCAGCAGCCAAGAGGAACCCAAGGAATGAGGCCCTTCCAAGCACCCCGCAACCCTGACCCACAATCGCAAAGTGAATTACAATGTGGTTTGACACCCCTGGGCTTTGAGATGTGGTCACAACGCAACAATAAGCAGAACAAAGACAGCAGCCAGGGAGCCTGGGGCGCGTGGGGTGTAGCTGACTAACTGCCAAGCACTCAGTGACCGGAAACCCTGGACCTGCACATTTTCTATTCAGCCGAGACTCTGACTGTTTGGTGCCACATCCAGCGGGAGGGAGACTCCTGGCCGAGTGGAGAGTGGGGTGAGTGGGGGACGCTCACGTCAGGGCTCAGGAGACTGTGTGGTGCTCCGGATAGAACGTGCGAGCACACAAGTGCTAAGTCCTCTGAGCCATCTCCCTGGCCTGCAAGCAAAACCCGTCCCCCAAAAAGAGAAAAAAAGCAAGTCAAGACTGCTGGAGAAGATGGTGAGAACCTGAGGGCACTGGGTCTCCAAACTTCTGAGGAAGAGGGCAGTGTGCGGTGAGCTCACCTGGGAGCCCAGAAGCAGATGGACACCCCCACCCCGGGATGCCCTGGGGAGGGTCCCTTACTCCGAAGCACACAAAATCAATGGCCCCTGCACGGGGGCCTGAAAGAGAAAGGTAAGAAAGAAAGAAAGTACAGGAAAACAAACTATTATTCAGGCACTGGGGAAAAACGGACTTGTCTCACAATTCTTCACAACATTTCAAATCTGAGGACCATGAAGTAATGATTTTAGAATTCCAAGACAAGAGAAAGGAATGGGGGGAGGGGAGAGACAGCAAGAGAATGAGAGATAGCAAATGAGGGAGCAAGCCAGAAAGAGAGAGAGAGAGAGAGAGAGAGAGAGAGAGAGAGAGAGAGAAGAGCTTTGAGCTGAGAGAATGTCTTACAGGCAGGAAGCCCAGGCCTGAAGTCTAGCACCTCCTGTGTCCCCAAACACAGAGCTGGGGAAAAGCCCTGGGCACCACCAAGAACCAACAAAAAGAATTCCAAGACCAGTGATCCTTCAGCAGAGGCAGGAGCAGTAAGCCCTGAGCTCTCCTGCTGTGGTCTTAAACAGATGAACAAAACAAGAATTCCAAGACAAGAAAGTCTAAATCGAGTCTCCATTCTACACAACCAAGTTGTCATAAAAAAAAAAAAAAAAGACAGGACAGGAGTGATAGCACAGCGGGTAGGGTGCCCGCTTTGCACACATCCATGCCTGGTTTGGTCCCCTAAGAACCTCCTGGAGTAACCCTGAGCGCGGAGCCCATAGTAAATTTTGACACTGCTGGGTGTGACCCCCGAACCCCCAAATGAGCAGACTTTCTCAAATAAGACTCAGGAAATTCAGAATCCAAGGAAAGACCAGCCAGCAGAAGTCTTAGCAATACATTTTATAGCAATAAAACAGACAATTAAATCAGAGATGGGGTGAGTTCTGGGTGGCGCCGTAATGGGAAGACTGAAGGTGAGCTGGATGGAATTCTTTATGGGCCTCAAATCACAGGATTATGGAAATTTAAAGATTTGAGAACAGAATGAGTGTTGTACCCTGGACAACAGTGTAGATTTAAGAACAAGGCAAGTGGAAGAATGTGGGAATTCTGTTTTTACATAGAAACACTTAAACTCTTAAAAAAAAAAAAAAGGGGAGAAGCAGAAAATGGGAATCTGGGGTTCACTTTTTTTTTTTGCCCGAGGAAAAACTGTGAGGGTGAGTAATACTCGTGTTGACAAAGACAAGATCTTACATTGTTGGTAGAAGCTCAAACGGGTCTAAAATTTTAGTGGGTAATTTGAGGCAATGCCTCTGATTTTTTAATACAATTTCTATATTAAAAGCATGCATGCTCCAAATTTCCACATGCTTTCCTCCAAGTTCACAGCTATCTATAAAGATGACTTCTAGAGGCTGGAGCAATAGCACAGAGGGTAGGGCTTTTGCCTTGCACGTTCCAACCACTAGTTTGATTCCAAGGATCCCATATGGTCCCCTGAGCACCACCAGGAGTAATTCCTGAGCATCACCGGGTGTGACCCAAAAAGAAAAAAAAAAGTGACTTCTGAACAAACCAGTTTCCCTTTCTTACTGTACCTGTTAGCCAAACCGTGCAGCCTCGGAAGCCGCCCCGGGTGCCGACCACCTGGCCTCGCTTGTTCCTGCTGACGTGGTGGGCTTGGTAGGTGACGTTAGTGGCCCGCTGCATGCCCTGGGGAGAGAAAGAACTGTGGTTCACAGGGGCTCGCACAGGAAACGCGGATTCCCGCATAACTCAGTCACACTGCCCTAGTCCAGCGCACCCAAGGCCAGGGGAAAGGTTCAGATGACGGCGTCTCTTCTTCTTTAGAGCTACTGGCCTGGGGGCCAGCACATCACATACAAAATTAATCACCACAGCCACCCACGGATGCAGGAACTGTATTACTGTGCTGAGGTAATGAGGACAAACCTGAGAAAGGTCAACAGCTTTCCTGAGCCTAAGCAGAAACAGGGAACTGGACACTTACTCTCGTCTTCCTTCAACCTGGCCTTGCAGAGACCCTCTGGAGCGCATTCAGCTGACAACACGGGGGGGCCAGAGAGATAGTCCAGAGTAAGGCACTTGCCTCCATGTAGCTGACCACATCAGTTTGATCCCCAAAACTGCATATGGTCCCCCCCTGAGCACCAACAGGAGTGACTGCTGAGCGTACAGCTAGGCATAAGCCCAAAGCATCGCCAGCCAGCTACACCTCCAAAACAAAACACAACCTTACAACACAGTTTAAGTTGTTGTCTTCTCAACAACTCCCTGGAGGGTCAGTGCCAGGGGGGCTCCCGCCTTTCAGTTTGAGAGCCAGCTCAGAGGACGGCTGTGCGCTTGGCTGATGAGGTGGGTCAGCATGTCTGTACACTGGGCTGCAGCCGGCCGGACAGGCCAGAGTCCTGTGCTGTGACACTGCCGTGACCCCATGCAGAGGTGGGGACACAGGAGAGGCCGGAGGATATCCAAAGAGAGACACCAAAGTGGGACGGCTTGAGAAGAACTGCCAGGTCATCCTGACAAGACCCTCCAAGTTAGCAAAGACCCTCTGGGGGTGGTCGGAGACGCTGTCTCCACTCCACATCCATGGCCCTAACCCTCTCCCTGGGGAACTCGGGGCCCTCACAGGGAGAGAGGCCCTTCCCCTTGGGAACCCAACAGCTGAGAAAATTCTCCGGCCCCTGCTGCTGGTGGGCAGTGAATCAGCTCTGGGACTCCCATCCCCCTCCACGGTGACTGAATAAGTTCCGGTTGATGCTGTGTGTTGGACCCCCCCCCCACCCCCCCCCCCCACACACACAATGGCTTAGCTCCACTCCTGGGTCACAGGTCAAGAAAGAGCTTCCAGGGGGGCCGGCGGAGAACACAGACAGGAAGGCACTGGCCTTCCATGCCGCCTTCCCGGGTTCAACCCCCATCATTGCATGTGGTTTCCCAAGCTCTGCCAGGAGTGATTCTGAAGCAGAGCCAGGAGTTACCCTGAGCATCGCCAGATGTGGTCCCTGACAAGCAGCTCAGCTACAAGAGTCGACTCGTGTCCTCAGACCCACCAGAAGGGCCACAAGAAGGGTCTTTATGGGGAAAAGACAAGACCCAAGGTGAGCTGCATACCTCTGGGCACCAGGACGAACCATGGGATGTCCCTGGTGGCGAATCTTGGAGGTCACTGCCTTATCTACAAATTGAAGGATCGCACAGGGGGCGGGGAAAACTCTCCTGCTTCTAGGTTCTGGGCAAGCAGAGTCATGCTGATCTGACACTCGTCGGGCTGGTCGAGTCAGTGCTCTGCTTTGGCCAGGGCTCACCCAAATAAAATCAAATTGCAATTACATGCAATGGGACCGAGTCACTAAATGAAACTGCCACTTCCTGTAGTCCCCCACGCACTGCAACCAGATACAGGATAAATTCGGGGCATCACACGGGGTTAGACCAGTCCCCTAAAGGAAAAACCAAAGGAAAAACGCAAAAGGAGATCAGCAGTCAACACCATGAAGGGTCAGGTATCCCATGAAGGATCACACCATGGTTGGCCACGGAGAAGGCAAAGGCAGGCGAGGCGCACAGAACAGAAGGCAGGCCGGGGGGCAGGCCCTGAAGGCGAGTTTCAGGGAAATCATAAAACCCAGATATGGTCTGAAAAGGAGCCACTCGGCCAGCCCAGCCCACAGAGCTGCACCCGCCCCAGGAAAAGAGTCACAGGACCGCAGCCGATGAGGAACCCGCAGAGGAAGGTCTCTGAGATGAAAGAGCATCAAGGTTCCGCATCCTTCCCGGGGCAATGCCCTGAGGAGGACTCACAGCAAAGTTCTTGGAAGAGGCCTGCAGGCTGCTCAGGGCTAAATGCCCCTTGAATGGCCTCTTGTCCTCTCTTTGTGCTTGGTCACTCTCACCTGCGCGCCTTGGAGCACTTGGGCCTTTCCCAGTCAGAGTGATGCCAGCATCTGGACACCGTCTATGTCTCTCTCTCTCCCCCTTCTGCACCTTTCTGAATAAGCTTTGTTTGATAAAAACCATCTTACTTCAAGAAGGAAGGCAGGAAGGCAGGAAGTAAGGGAGGAAGGAGAAAGAAGGAGGGAGGGACAGGAGGGAGGGAAGGAGGGAGGAAGGAAGGAAGGAAGGAAGGAAGGAAGGAAGGAAGGAAGGAAGAGGGAGAGGGAGAGGGTGAGGGTCGGGTCTCTAAAGGTCAGTGGGAGAGTGAGGGGTCAGATCTGAGAGACAGTAGGAAAAGACTGAGGCTGGATCTCAATTCTCTCTCCCCTGAGCACTCTGCCCAGTGAGCTCTCTCTCCCTGAGCTCTCTCTCCTGACCTCTCTCTCCCTGAGTTCTCTCTCCTTGATCCCTCTACCCTGAGCTCTCTCTCCTCTGAGCTCGCTCTCCCCCTGAGCTATGTCTTCTCCACTTAGCTATCTCTACCTTTTGAACTCTTTGCAAACTTAAACTTGAAAAAAAGAAGAAAGGAAAGGAAAAGATTTTCCATAATCTCCTGTCACCCAGCTCTTTTCAGAATAAATAAAAGAACCACTAGCATTCAAAGGCGGTGAGCATATGCCTGATATCCCTGTGCACCGCAGTCAATTCACAATCTTCTCTTGCTCTTCTTTCTTTTCCCTCCCCCCCCCCCACTCTGGCCAAGTGATCCCAAACAAGACAGCAGTGACTCACTGGAGCCAAGCGTGGGTTATTTCTCTCAAAACCCTCTGAATTCCAAATGTCCAGCGGGCTGAGGAATTAGGCTGTTTCTCTGCCGACAGCAAGGAGGTATGTAGAAATACCGGTCTGTCTGTCTGGGCGGGCATGCACCAGCCTCGCCTCGGACAGATGATGGGGGTCCCTGGGACTCAACCTGCAGCCCCTTCTCCACACCCGGGAGTCTGGGCTGACTTCTAGGAACAGTGGGAAAAAGTTACAGGGTTCTGATTTCTCCAGAACACCTGAACTCTTTTCCTGTGCCTACTCAAAACTTGGTGAAAGTCAGGAAAAAAGTTAGATACAGGCATGACTTTGTAAAATGCAAGACTGTTCGGGTTCTGACATTTACGGTCGTGGTGGCACAGCACCCTCCCCTCACCACCACGAAGAGCTCAAGTCACCCACCCCCCAACCAGGCAAGTATTTTTAAGTGAGGTTTGTTCCCTGTAAAATGGGCCAGTGGAAGGCTGACATTTTAAGTCATTGCACGAGGGTTAAGCAACTTGCCTTGCACCCTGGTTCAATGCCCAGTCCTCCAAGCTCTGCCAGGGATGACTCCTGAGCACAGAGTCCTGAGGGTATGGCCCCAACGGTCCCAGTGTTTAAAAAAATTAAAAATAAAGATCCTAAGTCTAGCAAAAGCTAGACAATGTTATTTCAGGAGAATTCATTCCATTTATACGTTTGGGACAAGACGAAAGGCACTCCTATCACACACTAACATCACCTGCTCGAGACTTGTGACAGGCGCATGCTTGTAGCATGCTCCACAGACTCCACCTGTCCACCCAAAGGGTGTTGGGTTCCTTGTCTGACCTCCTTAATTTTCACCTGGCTGCCTTGTTTCATCCACTTCCCTATGGGGCAAGTTGACTTCTCCTAGAATGCCATGGAGGTGAGGTGTACCTACCTGTGAGTTCATTAAGATTAAGGGGCCAAAGACATATACAGGTTCACCTGCAGCCAACCGAGGTTCAATTCCCAGCATTGCATATGGTACCCTAGTCAATGCCAGGAGTCACTCCTGAGCACTACCAGCTGTGGCGTAATCCCCAAAAAACACTGAACTGCTAGTTTTTTAACTGATTTTATACTTACAAGTAGAGCCGCAAGGAACATACATCAAATATCAAGTGCAACTCCAGACCCGATATCTATTTCCCATCCCACAACCCACCTGAGGCATCTGCAGAGTCCCTCAAATGGTTCCCAGCACATTTCTACATTCTCAAGACTTAAAAGGAGAGAACAATGAGGGTGGATTGAAGGGACGGTTATGTGCCGTGAGAAGAAATCTTTAGATCTCAGAAGTACTAAAAACTTAGTTCAGTGCTGATCAGCGAAACCAAGCTTCAGAACACCAACAAGCCAGGACAAACCACGCAAGTGAGTAAGCTCCTAATCGCAAGCAAGTCAAGAAAACCCGCCCAAGTCCAGCTTATTTTGCAGCGGGAAACTGCTTGAAAAGACACTTGGAACCTCTGACAGCAAGCCTGGCAACAAGCAGGAAAGACCTGCTGGGGGTCAGGGGGCACATCTCGGGTCCCCACCTCAGGTCACATGAACCAGTCTGCCTCCCTATGACCACTCACTGTCCAGCCTCATCGCTCAGACTTCTGGCTTGCCAGCTGCTCTGTCTTAAAGGTGAAAGACATTCGAGTACTGATGTCATGAGTAAAGGCGCCTGGGTGACCCCCACGGGGTGGCCCTGGACCATGTCTCAGATGTCAGAAATAAGTCAGAGACTCCCTATTCATTCTTGACATTTGTGTTGATGGATCCTTAGAGATCCTAGGGATGAAACAGCAGAAAAGCATTTCAGAGACAAACCCTAAATAGGCAAAGACATCAATGGGCAGTGGATGATCTGGCCCCCACCGTGGCTAAAACAGGTCATTTCCTGCCCATCTGAAGGGGTATAGGGGCTGTGCAGCCGGAGATACCACCATTCACTCCAGACATTGAAGTAACAATGGAGAAATAAGACCACGAAC